CTCCAGCACCCATCCACCGTAGCTCGCCTATAAGGAAGAACCCTCTGCCTCCCTCTGCCCCCGAAAGAACCTAAGCCGGCACTCACTATCACCCCCCCCTGCCCCGCCCCAGCTTTCCTTAACTGGAAACATGTCCCCAGAGCCAAGGCAGGATCAATGTTCCGGTCAGAGAACTTTCACAATTTCCAGCTCCCTGAGGTCTGTGAGCCTGCTTTGGAGCCAGATGTCGGGATGTTTATGTGGAATAGCCTGAGTTTTTAATGTTTGTGGCAAATTTCCATTTGTTTAAAGCATAGTGCCAACCAAACAAAACCCCTCTGATGGCCTGAGGCTACCATTTGTAGCACTCAGGGCTGGATCCAGAATGGCTAAGAAGAGAAAGGATGGCCTTCCAAGCAGAGAAATTAGGGAACTGGCAAAGGCAAAGGCTTAAAAGCTGGGGTAAAAATAAAAATAAAAATAAAAATACAGTTTATGTCCAGGTCAGCTGGATATAGATGAACTCTGGGACAAGGATTCCTCAAATATCCAATGACAGCCAGCAGCCATTACAACAAATAATTCCTTTACAACTGAAGTCCCCCACACTCTGCTCTTGGCTCTCTCCTTTTATGTAACAAATAGAACACACAAGTTCTGACTCCAGGCGCTGGGATATTATTTACTGTGAAGGCACTTACTGCATCTTTGCCGTTTAGAGAGCATTCACTCACATTCCCCTCTGAATAGCTCACCACAGTCTAGGAGTTATTTTGCTCCCATTTTATTGATGACAAAACTGAGTCTCTGAAGCAACTGGCCCAAGTTCATCCACAAACCTCTGCCTCTTGCACAAAAAGAAACTCATGTTGAAAACCCACAACCCCACACAGCGTCCAATATCAATTCCCAGGCATTTGTGTTTCTGGATTTTCAGGGCCTGCCTGGTCCTCTCTAGCAATATTTGACACAGTGTATTAATTTTTAATATGCTAAATGGTGAGATGCTCTTTAATCTAACTTGAATCTCCAACACCATTCATCTCTCACACCAGCCTTGGTTATTTCTGCTCCCCAAACTAGGCATGTTCCTTTTCAGCCAGAAGGCAGGGGGACTATGCGATTCCACTCCGGGGTGGGGTTTGGACTCAGATGTCATGGGTTCAAATCTCCATTCTGAGTGACTCTAGGTAAGTGACCCTTATTGCCTCAGTTTCCCCATCTGTAAAATGTGGGCAAACAGCAGGGGATTGGTATCCCAAGCTACAGCTCAGCCTGCCTTCCCCTGAGAAAGAGAGGTGAGCGAGAGGTCATAGCCACCATCTGCCGTTTCAGCTGCCCCACATGGGCCTCAACACTTGAGGTTCCCATCTTGGATTTGCATACTGGGGTGTTTGTTGTTGTGGAAACTGCCTAACAATTTCTACCACGGAAACAGCCCTAGCAGAACACACAAATATTTTTATTCTGTGAGCTGTTATTTCTGAAAAACAGAGGGGCTCACAGAAGCTTGTGAGGAGCAGGACAGGGCCTGATGCTGGGGAGGGAGCAACTCAGGAGAGAAGAGGAAGTGACAGAGAGGCCGTTCTGCTCTGTCCCCTCCCCCTTCCAGCCTCCTCCCCCTTCCCAACCTTGGGTTCTCCAACTAGCAACCTGGGGGGCAAATTCAGCTACAGACGTGTTGTATTTGGCCCAGGAATGATTTTACTGGGAAGATTTTACATCAAATTCCAGGTGTCCAGATTATTTTAGGAGATCTTCCACACGGGGCCCACATTCTCCCACAGGAGCTGAGAAATAACTGCTCTCTTTAGAAGAGCTGAGATTCTTCTTTGTCCCAGTCCCCACCACTCTCTGTTGACTCCCACCCATCTACTTCACTCATTCTTAAAACCTACCTGGCCTGCCCTAATCAGTTTAGCTCAATGGATAGCGCGTCAGCCTGCAGACTCAAGGGTCCCAGGTTTGATTCCGGTCAAGGGCATGTACCTTGGTGTGGGCACATCCCCGGTAGGGAGTGTGCAGGAGGCAGCTGATCGATGTTTCTCTCTCATCGATGTTTCTAACTCTCTATCCCTCTACCTTCCTCTCTGTGAAAAATCAATAAAACATATTTAAAAAAAACAAACCTACCTGGCCCTCACAGCAATTCGAATTTGCAACCCCTGGCCTCTGCTCTGTCCCAGGACCCAGCATCTCAATGTCGGGCCTGTGAACCCCCAGTGTGGCAGAACCCCTGAGCCATGGCCAGATTCCCTGAACTAGAGAACACCCTACATTTTCAACTGGTCACACTGTAGACTCCAGAACATTGGAATCACAGACCCTCAGAAGATTCAGCAATGCACCTTCTCTTTATTTACACTAAGCCTGATGAGGAACCCCAAAATACCAACAGACCCCAGCAGGACCACTTCAGGGCCTGCAGACCTTGGAACCCTGGATCCTTCTATTGAACTCCCCTCTTGTCAAGATGGGGAAACTGAGTCTCGGAGAAAGGAACTGGGTGGCCACAGGCATAGCAAACTGCTACAATAAGCCAATGTTGACTGGTCATAGCCCCCTTCCTCAGAGGCCTACCCACCCTCTTGAATTCTCCCTTCTTCCGTTGATCAAAGCCCACTCCCAGGAGAAAGCCTGAAACTCCTTCAGACCATGGTATCCAGAACTGGTGATGACTTTTGCCTCTCAGGGAATCTAAAGGAACTAGAGCTTTTAGTTAAAGAAATGAAGCCCATGGGAGAATTGCAGGCATTGGCTGTGGATAGAATTAGGCAAAGGAGGAAAAACAAGGAACCTTCCTGCAGTTCCTAGAATCACTCTACGTCATGCGTGATTAGAACAGGGCTGGACTGGGTTCTCAGACCCAAGGCAGCAGCTTGGTCTCATGAAGGCCCCAGTCTCCCCACCTATACAATGGGCATAACCCAGCTCTGAGATCCCTCATTCTCAGTGCACAGGCAGGACATTGGATATCCAGAGCTCCCACTAATAGACCCTGGCCTATCCTGCAGGGTCTCAGCCAGTCTGGCTCTTGGAGGCTCCCAACGGAGGTCTCATTGTCAGCATCAGAGGAGGCTCAGCACCTAAACCCCAGATGGGGACATGCCCATCTCCCTGGATCCCTGAGCCATAGACTGCTGGACACCCAGGACCACTGAGCTTTCTTTACATCACTCTCCCCAGCACCGGCACCAGATTGCACCCACAGTAGAGGTTCAAGAAACATGCACTGAATGAACAAATGGATGAATGAGCCAACAAATGGCAGGTTGTTAGAACCCCGTACCAATGGGATTAGACCCCATGCTCCCTTAACTGTAACAGCAGAATGTTCCATCGCTCTGACCCCAACATTCTAATAATGGTACTGTCCTGGGGATCCCTCTGGATCCCCCCTTCTCACAAGTGGACTGGGGCCAGAGGTCTGATGAGGTGTGTGCCCTCTCTGCCCCCCCTCCCTGTCCATCCCCCAGCTGTCTTCATTAAACCACAGGTGAGCTGGGGTTAATGGCTGGCCTCAGGGACAGGACTGACATTGCCCTGCTGCAGGGGACCATTCCTGCTGCATTTGCCATGATGACACCTCAGGGCAGGCTCATAATACTCGAGCATGTCACCTGTGTCCAGTGGGTGGGAGGAGTCTAAGGTGGTTGGTGGCCTCGAGTGCAGGCCCTGGAAGAATCAGACTGGTCTTTTCAACAAGGCACAGGTTGTACAGGAGTTGGAACACAGGTAAGCCCTGCTGTGGTCAAGGCCATGCTAGGTGATGGCAGGGAGATGCGGTCTGCCCGGGGTAGAGGGCGGGCTTCTCAACAGAGGGCGCTGAGAAGGGGCTCCCCAGTGTAGATGGGAGGAAAGGCTCTTCCTAGCTCACTGTACAGCATGAGCAGGGCAGGAAGTGTGCCAGGGCACTGGTTAGGGAAACATGAAATGGCACCAGTGACTTGGGGTGACACAGGGTAGCATCAGAGGAAAGAAAGAAGCAAGGGGAAGCACTTGCCTTCAAAGGGCCCAGTAAACAGAGAAGCTGGCCCCTCCCACTGGATCTGCCTTTGTCTGTCCCACCCCTGAATTCCCACTGTGAGAGGTTTCTGTTCCAGGCTCCTCTTCTAAGGCACAAATGCACCTGAGGGAGGTGGGGCCATCCACCCAGTTGAGCATCCACCCCTCCCCTCCAGGCACCACTCGAGCATGTCATGTGTGTCCTTGGGGGGTCAGCTCTTCGGGACAGGCACTCTGTCCTTTTTGCCACTCTATCCCAGTGTCAGGCACATAGTAGGTGCTCAACAAACACTGATGACTGCATGAATTATCTCATGAGATGCTCACAAGCACCCATGGGTTAGGCACACTCACCCTCCCACACAGTCTGGGATTCTAACCCAGGCAGGAGCTGCCTAGTCTGTGTTCAACAGGACAGGCAAGTCCAAAGCAGGAGCAAGGGTGCGGGTGCAAGGTGGGCATGATGCTGGGGATTCACTTCCTGTAACAAATGACCATAAACCAGTGGCTTTGAATAAGGGAAATGGATTCTCTCACAGTTCTGGAGGCCAAAAGTCTGAAATCAAGGTGTCGGCAGGGTCATGCTCTTTCCAAAAGTTCCAGGTTACATTCCATTCCTTGACTCTTCCAGCTTCTGTTGGCTCTGGGCTTTCCTTGGCTTGTGGCTGCATCACGACAATCTCCACTCCATCTCCACATGGCCTCCTTCCCTCTGTGTCTGTGTCTTCTCCTCTGTCTCTTACAAGGACACTTGTCATTGGGTTAGGGCCTATCTGGATAATCCAGGGCAATCTCATCTCAAAATCCTTTGTTTTATCTGCAAAGACCATTCTCCCAAATAAGGTCACATTCACAGGTTCTGGGCAGTGCTGGGCTCTAGGCTGGTGTCTGCAAGTTTCCCACTTTGTTCCTCTCTCTGTTCTTTGCCATGTGGCCAGACCCACTTGGGACAATTCCGGGAACATGTGTGTCTCTCCTGGGCCCTCCAGGCCGACCTTTCTGTACTCTGTCCACAGGTTTGCCAGGCACGGCTCCAGACCTAGAAAAGAGAAAGCAGATTTTTGGACAAAACTTTATACCTCCAAAGAAGCCAAAAACCTTCCTGCAGCTCGTGTGGGAAGCGCTGCAAGATGTGACGCTGATCATCCTGGAAATCGCGGCCATCATCTCCCTGGGGCTCTCCTTCTACCACCCACCTGGCGAGAGCCAAGAAGGTAAGACAGGGGGACCCCTGCCCCCCTCCCTGCAACATGTGTGCCCAGCCACACCAGAGGGCACTCGGGCTAACAGCCACTCCTCCTTCCAGGTGAGGAAACCAAGGCCCAAGGGGCTGGGTCTCACCCCCAGCCAATCGGTGGCCGAGCCAACACCCAGCTCAGAGCCCTGCCCCCAGTGTTCCCGAGTGTGAAATGCAAGGGCTGGACCAACAATAGTAATAATTACAATGATCATTTATTGAGCACTTACAGCATGCCAAGATCTGAGCTGAAATGGCCTCCTAACAGCCCCCATAAGGTAGTGCATGATTATGCCCATTTTATTTTTTTCTTAATTTTATTTTATTGTTTAAAGTATTACAAATAGTAGTACATATGTCTCCTTTTTTTCCCCATTGACCTTCCCCCGGCCTCCCCTACCGCCCCCCGCCCCCCAGCACATGCCCTCACCACCCCCCGCACCCCCCAGTGTCTTGTGTCCATTCGATTATGCCCATTTTAAAGACATGGAACCAAGGCACAGAGAAGTGCATTAACTTGCTCAAGGTCTCCCAGCTAATAAAGAGTCCTTAGTTTTTGTAGTGGAGCTTAGAAAGACTGCTGCCAGGCCCCTCTCTGAGAGTCTGGTTTTATTGGATGGAATACAAGTGAGGGTGGCTCTGGACGTATGTCCAGACTGCTCTCTGAGGGCTCCCACTCTCACATCTGAGGACAAAGCCCCCAAATTGCTTACCTGGTGGGCTGCATTCACGATGTTTGATTTGACAGTGCTTCAGCCCATTCACAGAGATGAATGGGTACTGCCCTCTGGGTACTCCAGCCTCTGAGGGACCCTCCTTCAGCTCCAAAGCTGGGCTTCTCCTCAGAACCCCAAGTCACTCATTCCTTGAGGCATGCAACGATGAAAAAATTCATGCACCGAATATTCGAGAACAAGGATTACAAACGATAGCCCACAAGCCAAATCTGGCTCACTTTCCTGTTTTTGTATGGCCCATGAGCTAAGATTGGTTTTTACATTTTTCAAATGGTTGAGAAAAATGAAAATAATATTATTTTGTAACATGTGGCTTTTACATGAAATTCCTACTTCATTGTGTAAAAAGAGTGTTTTATTGGAACACCCCCATTTCTTTTTCATATTGTCTACGCTGCTTTCCTGCTATAATGGCAGAGGTGAGTAGCTGCGACAAAGACTATATGTATGGCCCACAAGGCCTAAAATATTTACTATCTGGCCTTTTACAGAGAAAGTTTGCCAACCTCTTTCCTAGAAGGTCAGAATGTGGAGTTTTGCCTCAAGAAAACCATTCTCCTTCTCCTTAATTCCCTCCACTCTGCGTGTGGAGGTTAACTGCCTCAATTTTATACTTCATATTACCAAGTTGATTTTTTTTTCTCCATGGCATCTCTCCAAAACGGGTTTAAAGACATAATAAAGACATGCCTCATACTATGAGGTAAAATAGAAAGCCAGACAGAAAAAGAATGGAAACAAATAAACTGTGTTTGCTACTATGATTGGGATATAAATTTGATTTTGAGCTTCCTGGCAGCCAAGGCAGAAAGGGAATTAGGATGGTTTGCATCGCTCAGATTATCAACAGGAGGAAACATCGTCCTATAGGAAGAGAGCATACCCCTGACGATGAATTCTGGGATGAACTTTCACATAGGCCATAAGAGATGAATCATGGGCAGCATTCTTTGCAGAAGTTTTATAGAAAATGTTGAAGAAGATTGTGCATGGCTATTTGAATAGGCCTTGAACAGAGCTAAGGGTGCAACACAAAAACGTAATAATTGTTCTTACTATTTTTATAGCTACCACTAGCTGAGAGCTTTTACAGTAGAGGTTCATTTGATCCTCACAACAACCCTGTGGGTAGGTGCTATTATTATCCAGGAAACCGGGGCCCTGAAATAGGAAATGACTTGCTCCGTCACACGCTAGGAAGCACAGAACCATGACTCAGACAGAGACGTTCTGGCTTCTGAGCCCTCGCTCCTATCATTCAGAAAGAGATGGGGTTGAGGCAGTGCCAGCTGAGTAAGTGACCTCATGTGACCCAAGTCAGTGCAAGATTAGAACTCAGAGGGCAAGTGGTGGAGGGGGTGCAGCGGGAGCACGCATAGAGCTCCCAGTGTGTGCCAGGGAGAGCCTTCCAGAGCCCTCCAAACAGATGCCTGTGAACGCCTCCATCTTCAAGAGGTGGAAACCAAGGCCCAGAGTGAGGAAGCACTTGCCTAAGGCCGCACAGCTTGTACACAGTAGGGCTGAATCTGAAACCCAAGTTGTCTGGTTCTTTTCACTGCCCTTCCCTGCCTCCAGCTGAGACACTAGTGCAGACCGTACTCTGGGTCGACGAGTGCAGTTGTGCACACTCTAGCTCCACAGAGTGAAGTTCCAGAACTTTGTGATGATACTTACGCTTCCCTGACCCCCAGACCCTGGCCTGAGCTCTGAGCTCTGGGCTTACCATGTTGCCAGGACCACCCCCTTGCCAAGTCAAACACAGGCTTCATCAGTTAATTAAAAATTGATGCAGGTGATGAACTAAAAGACTATAGAGTGCCTTGCAGCAGCCACAGCCCTTCCCTGTTTTCGTTCTTGGCTCAGAGAGCTCTAGACACTTGTCAGAGGTCACACAGCATAGTTGTGGCAGGGCTGGGATCTACACACCCAGTGCTCCCAACTCCCTGCCCATGACAGTTTCCCTAGTGCTAGAGTGCTAGCAGAGTGACAGGCACATAGTAGGTGCTTAGAAAATGTTTGTGGCTTAACCAGTTTTGAGGGCCTTTATTTGGTAACCACCTAAGAGGTAGCTTCCCCATGTTACTGGTTAACAAACAGAGAGAGGCCCAGAGAGGCCATGTGCATTCTCCGAGGTCACACAGAATGAAGCCACACCTTAGAAAATCTCAGGTCCAGGGAAAGCAGCTGCAGATTCCACAGACTCTGTGGTCACAATCTCTAGGTCCTGTTTCTGCCCCAATCTGAGGGGACCTAGAGGAGATCTCAGCGAGGCCTGCCCACTCTCTTCTTTCTTCCTGTTCCTGGTCTCTTCACCCTAATGCACCAGGGGCAGCAGGAGTTGTTCCGAGTCCAGCGGCTCCCAGTGGCTAAAGACCTAACCCAGAGATCCAGACCCCACTTTCTGGCCATTCCAAGGCACGATATAACCATCTGACAGTTGTCAGAAGGAAATTAAAGCTAATTTGCTGGCAGAGTGAGTGCTCACTCTGATGGGCCCAGAGGGCTCCTTGGTGTCGAATCAGCAAGGGCAGCAGGCAGGACTGGGAGTCAAGGCAATGGGGTGTGAATCCTACTCAACCGCCACGCCTGGTTTCCAGAAGCCAGTCCAAGGAGAGCAGCTCATGAAAAGGGGGAGAGAACCAATACTTATTGTGTGCCATGTGCCAGGCCCTTACTAGGTCCAGGTCGCACAAATTCCCTGGGGTCATCGCACTTTACAGCTGTCCAAACTGAGGCTCAAAGAGGCCAAGTACTTCCTCTTGGTCACACAGCAGAGCCTGGACTTGAAGCCTAGTCTTTCCACTTCTAGAACCTGAAGGCTTTCCATTGTCCTGGGATGTTTCCAAGTGTCTTGAATGCTTCAATAACTAATGGGGTGGGGTGGTGTGGGGAGGTGGGGGGGGGGGCGGGAGGGCATTAACAAGGCACACACAGGGAAAGAACAGCCTTCCCCATGTACAGAGCATGTAGCAGGGACAGGGAATAACAAAAGCCCTGTAAAGTGAAGCACTGGGCTCTGTATCTCAAATCACTCCCCTGAAGTTCAAGAGAATGCATTTCCATATACTGGGTTTCTATTTAGCAAGGTTCACCCGTGTTTTCCAGCTTTTTTTTGCGGCGGGGGGGGGGGAGGGGTAATTGGTGTCATTCATGGTGGTAGAGGGAACTCTAGTTCCCCTCCTCCTGCCATCACGTGGTCTGGAATATAGCTGGATCCCCTCTGTAACGCGGGGCTCGCAGCTCCATTCAGGCTGGCTGTGGGACTGGACTGCAATAATGTGTGCCAATGCTGGGCAACGGGAAGCAGCAGCTTTAACTGAGCCGTTACTGTGTGCTCACTGCAATAGCTGCTTTACATAAAGGCTCACCCTGAGTCCTCCCAACCCCCTAGGAGGGAGCGCCTGTCAGTGCCCTCATTCTGCAGATGAGAAAACCCAGGCACAGTGGTTCAGTAGCTAGCTCCTGGGCACACAGCAGTTAAGTAGTACAGCTGGGATTTGAACTCAGGGCTGGCCCCATGTCCGTTATCCGCACGATAATGAATATCATTACAACCAAAGGCTGATTCAATTAAATAGTTTAAAATAACTAGAAAAGCTTTGAAATTCCCAAAGGAAAAAGGTAGCTTTGAGAACCTCATACAACGATGTGATTGTTAACTAGCCTGTGCAGAACGGCTGGTGACACACACTGCCCGGCCACAATGATTCTGTACCATCCCAGCCTGGACATACCAGCTGAGCCTGGACCCTCCCAGGAGCTGGGAGCTAAAAAAAAAACAAACAAACAACTCCCTGGTACCACTTGGCCTTTCTGTCATGTTGTTTCTGTCCCCTGGCTTTCCCAGAGGCTCCTGCTGGGGTCTCCTAAAACTGCTGTTCTGCCCTGGCCGGTGTGGCTCAGTTAGTTGGGTGTCGTCCCATGCACCAAAAGGTTGCTGGCTCCATTCCCAGTCAAGGGCACATGCCTAAGTTGTGGGCTCAATCGCCGGTAAGGGGCATGCAGAGGTAGCCAATCAATGTTTGGCTTCACATCGATGTTTTTTTTCTCTCTCTCTCCCTCTCCCTTCCTCCCTCTCTAGAAATCAATAAAAAGTATTTTTTAAAAACCTGTTGTTCTCTCGCCCTGGCCAGAGTGACTCAATGGTTAGAGTATTGGCCCGAGCACCAGAGTCACAGGTTTGATTCCCAGTCAAGGGCATGTGCCTGGGTTGCAGGTTTGATCTCTGCCCCCTGTCAGGGCACATGTAGGAGACAACCAATCCATATGTCTCTCTCACATCAATGTTTTTCTCTCTCTACTTTCTCTCTCTCCTCCTCCCCCATCCCTTCCACCCTCTCTAAAAATCAGTGGGAAAAAATATCCTCCCATGAGGATTAACCAAAAACAAAAACTGCTGTTCTCTCTTCCTTGGGATTGAATTGGACTTCCATACAATTGGCCATAGGTCTATGGCAATGTTTTCTACTTTTCCACATGAGACCAGCAAGTGGCAGAGAGGGCACTAGGCTCAGGGACAGTGGGCAAGGCAGGTCCAGTGTCAGATCCTAGGCCCAGGCCTGGATTCAAACTCCAGATCTGCTGTGTGACCCCAGGTGAGTTACTGTCCCTCTCTGAACTGCTTCCCTTTTTTCAGCCAGCTTGATGATTAAAGTGAGTGCTTGGCATATAGCAGGTCTTGCAAATAGCCCAGTCGCCTGCCCAACCCCCATGGGAGAGAACTACCCTGAGTTTTCCAGGAGTAGATGGTCAGACATGGAAAGGGCGTTCTCTACCCCCACCCTCTTCCCCAGTGGAAAAAGGAGCTAGTCCTGGCTGCAGCAATCACCTTGGCTGTGTCACCTCACCGCTCTGGGTCTCAGTTTCCTCAGCTGTTAATGGAAGAACTCACTCTTTGGATCCTGTGGGGAAGCAGAAGACAGAGTGTGTGGAAGGGCTAGGAAAGGCCCTAGCATTCGGCACCATGTGGACAAGACCTGCCTTTGAGTCTGAGGCCTTTGCATTAAATATGTGTGGTATTTTTTCATTTTCTTTTTCACATGGTGGGCCTGGCAGGCCTCAAGCAATTTGAGGGCCCAGACTGGGAGGTTCAACAGAGCAAGGGTGTGAGGTGTAGGTCACACAGAGGCTCCGATGGAATGTGGGTATCCTCACTGTGTGGTTGGGGCTCAGATCCAACAAAGGCCAAGTAAGAACCTCCTGTGACTGAGCACAGGCCGGAGCATCCACCTTCTTTTCCTTGAGCCCAGAAGGTGGTCTCAGTGAACCCCAGTTTGCAGATGGGGATGCTGCAGCTCAGGAAGAACAGTGATTTACCCAGGCTAGTTCAGGGACAGCAGTGCAATTAGAACCAGCTCGTCAGAGGGCAGGTCCAGTGCTCTGGTTCCTACCTCCCAACCTAGAGACCTGCCTCGTGGTTGCTGGGAGAACGGAAGGGAAGGACAACAGCAAAACTGCATTTTAGACCCTAAAGCAAGCACAGTGTTGATTGGTCTCATTCTGTTACATCCTCACTTTTTCTCGTTTCTCGTTAAGCAGGCCTCTCTTTTGTGCCAGGTCTGTGCTGGAGATGCCATGGACCTCACCTCATTAAATTCCAGCCCTCAGAGTGGTCCCCAAGATAAGGAATACATTCCTATTTTATAAATAAGAAAACTGAGGTTCAGAGAGGTGAAGTCATTACCCAAGATCTCACAGCTAGAACAAAGGCAGAAAACCAAAGTAGCTAAGACAGTAGGCTCTGAAATCAGATATCCTAGCTCCCCACTTGCCCTTCCTAGCTTAGACAAGTCATGTGGCTTCTCTAAGAAACCTCAGCTTCCACATCTGTGAAATGGGCAGAGTGAGTGCTCTGAGATGATATGTGTGAAGCCCTTTGCACAGGGCTTGGCACCCAGATGCACGGAATAAATTATTCATGATTATCTGATTATCAACATTTTCTGCTTGGCAGAGCTGGGATTTAAAGCCAGACCACTCGAGGCCCCATCTGCTCAGTGGTCGGCAAACTGCGGCTCGGCAAACCGTGGCTCATGAGCCACATGCGGCTCTTTGTCCCCTTGAGTGTGGCTCTTCCACAACATACTGACTTCTGCACATGGGCCACGAAGTTTCAATCACACTGTACATGCGCGCCTGCACGTGGTATTTTGTGGAAGAGCCACACTCAAGGGGCCAAAGAGCCCCATGTGGCTCAAGAGCCGCGGTTTGCCGACCACGGGCCTAGCTGATCCCACACCATCTGCTTCCTTCTATTCTCTGCAGGATGCGCCACAGCCCAGGCTGGGTCTGAGGATGAAGGGGAGGCAGAGGCAGGCTGGATTGAGGGGGCTGCCATCCTCCTCTCAGTCATCTGTGTGGTCCTGGTCACGGCCTTCAATGATTGGAGCAAAGAGAAGCAGTTCCGGGGCCTGCAGAGCCGCATCGAGCAGGAGCAGAAGTTCACCGTGATCCGGGCTGGCCAGGTGGTCCAGATACCTGTGGCCGAGATTGTGGTTGGAGACATCGCCCAAATAAAATATGGTAAGTGTCCCAGCCACAGAGCTACTTGCTAGAGCTGGAGCAGAGATGGGACAGGCCAAGCAGACCCAAAGAGGCTGGCCCAGAGAAGAGGGTGGGTCCCTGAAGGCTGATTCCAAGCCAAGATGTCTTCTGGGATCCTTTGTAGAAGGCTACTTCCTGGAGGGAGTAGATTTCAGAATTGATTTAACTCAGAAATGGCAAATACTTGGCACATGTGTCACCACTCTCAATACCTTCAGACATTACTAAACAGTCACAGCTCAGGGCCTCCATACAGCCTCAGAAGCCTTCTCAACACAATACTCCAAGGACTACTCATACTCAGAATGGGTTCATGGGATGAAGTCAATTTCCTATTCCTGATTTGGCTATTGATGGATGGTTGTTGGGCCAGTTGCGTGTGATGGGGAGTGGACATAGATGAGTGGACATTCTAAGCCTGTGATACTACCTTGGAGAAAGTGGGCAAGCTGGTGCCAAAGGAGTTTAGATGAGTATGTCCTTGGGAAAGTAGAGGCAGAAGATGGAAGCGAGATTGGAGTATACCCCTCCTCACTTAGCCCTCGGGGGTTTGGTTTCCTCTGATAATGTGACTGTGCTGGAGTCTCCTCTGCCTAGCCCAGATGGACTAGTCCCTTTCAAAAGAATTCCTCAAATCATAGTTGAAACCAGAGAATGAATCATTGAGAAAACTAGGCCTCAAGACCACACCAGGCCAAGAAAAGCACTTAATAAACTAAAGAACATGCCTGCCTGAGCTAGGATTGTTGGGCCCAACCTCAGCCCTCCCAGCCTGTACCATTCACTTCAGCTCCAGTCTTCAGCTGCCTATTGGCCTGTGATGGGCGCCAAGTTGGTTCCTGCACCCTGGGAGCTCTAGGCAGCTGGTCCCAATAGTGAACCTTCCCTTATAATCATAACTTCTGGGGACTATTCCAGCCTCTTCAGCCACCTGAGACCCTGCTGACTCCCTTGACCTTCCTCCCATCAGGTGATCTCCTCCCTGCTGATGGCCTCTTCATCCAGGGCAATGACCTCAAGATCGATGAAAGCTCCTTGACAGGAGAGTCTGACCAGGTGCGCAAGTCCGTGGACAAGGACCCCATGCTGCTGTCAGGTGAGCTGCAGCCCAACAGTGGGCTCACTCCCATTGCTGGTTTTGTCCCCTTCATGAGGCTGGAGGGTCATGGAGACTTTGGTCCTTGGCTCCAGATCTCTGGCCAGCTCAGCTCCAAGTGAGAACTTCCTCTCTTTTCCCCAGCAAACATGCATTGAGCCTCCTGGGCTCTCAGCACTGCTTTAGGGATACCACAGTGAATAGAATCGATAAAGAATCTCTGCCCTCAGGTAAATTACCTTCTAGTGATTTAGTTTTCTGAAAAGTCAAACATTGAAGCCCATTCTTATCAGGATGAGAAAGAATCAGTCAGGTGACAATTGTTTTGTTTTGTTTAATCCTCACCTGAGGATAGTTTTCCATTGATTTTAGAGTGAATGGGAGATAAAGGGGAAGACAGAGAGAAATATCTATGTGAGAGAAACACATCAATTGGTTGACTCCTGCACGCCCCGACCAGGGCCAGGTCAGGAAGGAGCCTGCAACCAAGATGCCCTTGACTGGAATTGAACCCAGGACCCTTCGATTCCAGGACCCTTGGCCCAGGCTCATGGGAAAAGATAGTGAGCCAAACTGGCTAGGGCTGGGTGCTAGACAAATAGGAAGGGATGAGGCAGATGAGGCCTCAGTCCTGAGGAGCTATGGTGTAGTGAGGAGAGATAGGCAATGGGAAAATTCCAGATGGTGGTAGGTGTGTGGCAAAAATAAAGCAGGACAAGGGGAGGCAGGTGGCTGGAGAGGTCAGGGGGGGCCATGTGTGAGCTGAGGTGTGAATGATGAGCAGGAGCTGGCCTTGTGACTATCCAGGGAAAGTATACTAGGCAGAAGGAACAGCAGGTGCAAAGGCCCAATGGCAGGATTGTGCTGGAGGACTGTGAACAAGATGGAGATGTGGAGGGGGCCAGCTGTCAGGCCTCATGGGCATGGTCAGGAGTTTGGAAATGTTTTGTGTGATGAGGATTCTCTGGAATGGTTTTAAACAGTGAAGTGAACACATTTACTTTTTTAAAATCTCACTCTGGCTGCTGCAGGGGGCAAGACAGGGAGCAAGGAGACCATGCAGAGGTAAGGCACCAGCCAGGTGACCACCCTCCCTCCAACAGGAACACCCAAAAGGCCTTAATGTCCAGCAGTGCTCATCAAGTAGCCTCTGATCAGCTACTTTGGGCCTGACCCTGGACTAAGCAGTGGGTCCCACCTCTGGCTTCAGAAGCCTCCAGCCAAGATAGGCTGGGATAAGCAGACCAGCAAACAACTAATTCCACACTGGAGGAGTGAGGAAGGTGTACAAAAGCCAAGAAGGGAACAGAGGGGGAGGTGGAATTGAGCTGGGTTTTAAAGCATGGGTAGCAGCCCACCAAACAGAGTTTTGGATAAAGGGCCCTCCTAGCAGAGGCAAACATTTGAAAGGCACAGAGGTTTGAAGGAGTGTATGTCATCCTCGAAATACAACGTCCCTGCCCTCCTGTAGCTTAGACTCCAAGAGACAGACAATAAAGAAGCAAGCAAGCACATATATAACGTAATTTCATATAGTGATAAATCAGTGATAGTGATAATTCTGCCATGGTAATGAAATAGAGACCCAGAGGAAAGGACAGGAATCTTAGCTGGTCAGGGAAGGCGTTGGAGCTAAAACCAGAACTGTGACAAGAAAGAGCATTATAGGCAGCGGGATAGCAAGTGCAAAGGCCCTGGGGTCTGACTGAGAGATGGAAATCCTCAAATGCTATCTTGGAACTTAGGGCCACATGGCCCTATGGTCCTAGTTCCAACCTCTGGTTAGCAGAGAGGCGAGCATTCTTGGGAGCCATGGCCAGGTGTGTCAAGTGGGTCATCTGGGTCAGTGGAAATTGAGGGGAGGTTCTGGGCCTGAGTGGATGAGTTGTGTCTGTACCTCTAGTCTATGAGAAGCCTCATAATTGGGGAGGGGTAGTAGGTTGTCTCCGAGGGAACTGGATGTCCCAGAGACCATCCAGAGAGCTCAGACCCGTAGGCCCTTGGAGACTTGGCAGTGATCTCTGCCTTCAGTGGGGAAGAACAGGGGACTAGGGACAGACAAAAGCATTCCAGGTCTTAACAAGAATCTGGGAGAGCCCTGTGAAGCTCAAACTGGTGGGATCACAGTGGGGTCAGCACTGGTCCTCAGCTCGGGAATGGGTGGTCTCTGAGCACTGGGACATGAGAGGCTCAAGTTGAACCAACTGCTTTAGTCTCAGCCTGTACAACTGGCTGAAAGCCTAGCTATGAACTTGGCTCTGAGCCTTTGGATGTCAGGAGACAGTAGCCACGGTCTCCCATGATGTCCTTGTGGACAAGATGGAGAAGGCTGTGCCAGAGGCCAGGAGATTTTGGCCAGTTTGTGCTGATTCTTGGATTGCGGTTATCTGGTTTCTAGTGGCCTTCCCTGGAGCTCTGTCCTGTCACAATATGGAAAGTGTGCCGTCAAGTTCACAGAGACCACCAGCCCAGGGAGCATGGCAAAAAGAAAGCAAGAGTCAGGACCCACAGAGATCACCAGAGTGCAAGGCGAATTAGACGGAAGGAAATGGAGCTTGACTGCAAGCAGCAGTGCTCACATTCAGAAACACAATTGCATGGGGGAAGGAGAAGCAAGTGGCTTGGCCCTGGCTCATGGGAAAAGACAGGGAGAAAGTGGCATCATTGGCCCAACAGAAAGTAATCTAACTGGGAAGAGAATTCTGTTGCAGAAGAACCATTCTAGGACAAAAGAGGCTGCCTGTAAGGTAATGAGTTCCCTGTCACTGATTGGAACTTAGGGCCACATGGCCCTGTGGTTCTGGTTCCAACCTCTGGTACCAGAGAGGCGAGCATTCTTGGGAGCAGTGGCCTGGACAGGCTGTGGGTGGGAGTGGTATAGAGAAGGCCCAAGCACTGCATTCAGTGCCCCTCCTAGCCGTGAAAGTCACGGATTCACCACACCCTGCTCACCCTGTAACTCTGCTACAAACCCACCTGGCTCCATTCCTGTGCCCTGCCTCTGCGGAAGCTGTTCCCTCCTCCTAATGGCCCTCCTTCTCCCTTTCACATTGCTCATTTAATTTCTGCCCATCTGCTTGGGCTTACCTCCTTCACAACGTCTGCTCTGAGCACCACCTCTGGCAGTCGCTCCCATACCACCTGGGGTCCTCATGTCAGCCTGTGACATCCACTCTGTGCACAGCCTTGTAATGTTGATTGAGTTTTTTTCTGCACAAACTGTCTCAAATGAAATAAAGAGCAAAACCCATCCACACTCCTGCCACCCAGACAGATCTAATGGGTCTCACTTTTATGGGCTTCTTCCATCTTTGGCCGTACACAGATAGAAGACACCAGGACAGACACACAGGTGGTACACTTCTATTTCGGTCCTCTCACCCGAACAGATCCAAGCAGGCGGGAGCCCAAGCCTGAGGTTATCAGGAGGTCATGCCCAGCTCCACCCCTGGGCCCTGCACACCTCAGGGCTCAGGCACTGCCTGCCAGAGTGAGGAGAGAGGCTGCATTGTAGAAAGAGCAGAGTTGAGCCAGGCTGAGCCAAATCCGGGCTCTGGAATGAACTCTCTGTGTGGCCTCAGGCAAGTTACTTCACTTTTATTGTCCCCTGTGAGGACAATAGGGGTGTCCTGGTGTATGATATAGGTCAGTGATGGCGAACTCATTTTTTTTGGTTGATTTTTCTTTGTTAAATGGCATTTAAATATATAAAATAAATATCAAAAATATAAGTCTTTGTTTTACTATGGTTGCAAATATCAAAAAATTTCTATATGTGACACGGCACCAGAGTTAAGTTAGGGTTTTTCAAAATGCTGACACGCCAAGCTCAAAAGGTTCGCCATCACTGATATAGGTGAAGCCCTACCTAGCATAGCGTTGGTAGGGGGATGCTCATGCTGGGTTGGTTCCCTTTCTGTTCCTAGGATGGAACCTGGACTTGGGGGCAAAATAGTCTTGGATTCCAATCCCGACTCCGCCCTTATTGTCTGGGAGACCCTGGACAAGCTTCTTAGCCTTTCTGAGCCTCCATTTTCTCACTTGTAAAATGGGAGCCTAACCCCAGCTCAAAGATTGTGACAAAGCATCCACTTTCCTCTCTCTCATTCATCTCAACTGTCTACCCTTGCCCTCTCTCTGCACTGTCCACCTTCTCTCCACTATCCACCTCCTCCCACCTTCGGCCTGCAGGAGCCTGCTTCCTCTAGGGGGGTTCCTTGATAGCTCTCTCCCCAGTGCTGTAAATTCTGGATAGCTGCCATTTGGATGCTCATTTTTGCGCATGACCAGACACCTCAGACCCTGTCCCTGTGCTGGGAGGCCTTGCTGGGCCTTCTGGTCAGATGACCCTCAGGGAACACAGAGGGACCAGGATAGGGGTGCCTGCGGGGTCCTTGTGGTAGTGCAGAAGCCCCCTTGTGGTATCTGGCACACTGTGTCAGCCTAGAGCAGCGGTTCTCAACCTGTGGGTCTCGACCCCTTTGGTGGTCGAATGACCCTTTCACAGGGGTCGCCTAAGACCATCCTGCATATCAGATATTTACATTACGATTCATAACAGTAGCAACATTACAGTTATGAAGTAGCAACGAAAATAATTTTATGGTTGGGTCACAACATGAACTGTATTTAAAGGGCCAGAAGGTTGAGAACCACTGGCCTAGAGGAAGGCAAAGGACACTCCGGTTCTGAGTCAGTTGGCCCAGCCATGTCTGGCTTGTGATCCTGGACAGGTCACTTCATCTCTTGGAGCCTCCATGTTTGTGTCCGTACAATGGGGAAGCAGGTGCGCACCCCCCCCCCCCCGCCTACCCAACAGGGTTGTTGTGGAACCCACATGCACAGACGGATGTGACTGTCCCTTGTAAATGGTGCTGTGTGAGGTGCTATGTGAGGAATAAGAGCAGCATTTGGAGACAGAACACTCAGGTTCTAGCCCTCCATCAAGCTTTGGCTTTGACCTCTGCCCCCCAGGACCCCAGTCTCCTCATCTATTACCC